TCCCAGCCCCTTATAACATATATTTAAAAAAAATTTTTTTTGATAGGTCATGGGGCCTGAACTCTGGGCCTGGGCACTGTCCCTCAGCTCTTCAGCTCAAGGCTAGCACTCTACCACTTGAGCCACAGTGCTGCTTCTGGCTTTTTTCTGTTTATGTGGTGCTGAGGAATCGAACCCAGAACCTCATTTATGCAAGGTAAGCACTCTACCACTAAGCCACCTTCCTCAGCTCGTACATTCCTTCCTTCCTTCCTTCCTTGTTAGATTATTTGGACTTTGCCAGAAAACCATGCAGACATCCAGGTACAGAGAACAAAGAAAGGTTTATTGCCAGAAAAGAGGCCCCAAGACCCCTTCTCACAAGGGAGAAGTGAGAAGAAGCACCAGCTATTGTCTGGGGTGACCTATATAACCTAGGAGGTTTAGGAGGGGCTAGAAGGGGCTACAAGGCAGAGACCCTGGTGTGGATGTGAGGGCCAGGGGCTTCATCATGGCAGACTAGGATTTATGGCTGCTGCCAATAGTAGATAAGGGGTCCTGCAGCTGCCCAGACCTGAAGGCCACTCTAAGGGGCTCTTGTTGCCTTATGTGGTGGTAGCTGCTCCAGAGAAGTGCCATCCCAAAGTAGAGGAGGTTGGAGGCTGATTATTTACTGCCTTTATTACGTGGGCCTAGTGTTGCCTAGGAAGGGAGCATGCTAAGCTGTGGAGAGGGGAAAGAGTGGACTAAGCTATGGGAAGGGAGTTCATTGGGCTAACATTTTTTTTTTTTTTTTGTCATGGGGTTGAACACAGGGCCTGGGCACTGCCTCTGAGCTTTGCCCTCAAGGCTAGCACTCTACCACTTTTAGCCACAATGAGACTTCCAGTTCCTAGTGGTTAATTGGAGATAAGAGTCTCACAGACTTTGTTGCCAGGGCTGGTTTTGTTTTTTGTTTTTCTTTTTGTTTTTGCTAGTCCTGGAGCTTGAATTTAGGGCCTGGGCATTGTCCCTGAGCTTTTTTTGCTCAAGGATAGCACACTACCACTTGAGTCATAGTGCCACTTCCAGCTTTTTCTGTTTATGAGGTACTGAGGAATTGAACCCAGGGTTTCATGCATGCTAGGCAAACACTCTACCAGTAAGCCACATTCCCAGCCCTACTGGGCTGGCTTTGAACTGTGATCCTCAGACCTCAGCCTCCTGAGTAGATAGGATTACAGGGCTGAGACACCAGCCCCAGGCTCTTTAGCTTTTGCACTCAAGGTTGGTGCTCTACCATTTCCACTTCTGCCATTTGACTAGTTAACTGGAGATAAGAATCAATAGTTTATCTGCTCTGAACTGGATTTTTTTTTTCTTTTTGTCAGTTGCAGGACTTGAACTCTGGGCCTAAGTGTTGTCCCTCAGCTCTAACAGCTCAAGGCAAGCACTCTACCACTTGAGCTACAGTGCCACTTTTGGTTTTCTGGTGGTTTATCGGAGATAAGAGTCTCACAACCAGCTCGCGCTGGCTCTGAACCGTGATCCTCAGATCTCAGCCTCCTAAGTAGTTAGGATTATAGGCGTGAGCCACCAGCACCTGGCTTTAACCATGATCTTAAGATCTAGACTCCTGAGTAGTTAGGAATACAGGTGAGAGCCACTAACAACCACTTAATTATTATTACTAGTATTGTTATTTGGTTATTTATTATCAGTTGTGGGGCTTGAACTTGGCCTGGGCGCTGTCCCTTTGCTCTTCAGCTCAAGGCAAGTCATAGACATGAGCCACAGCGCCACTTTCGGTTTTCTGGTGATTAGTTGGAGATAAGAGTCTCAGGGAGGGCTGAGAAGGTGACTCAGTGGTAGAGTGTTTGCCTTGTATGCATGAGGCCCTGGGTTCAATTCCTCAGCACCACATAAGCAGAAAAAGCCACAAGTGGTGCTGTAGCTCAAGTGCTAGAGCTGAAGAGCTGAGGGACAGCGCCCAGGACGAGTTCAGGCTCCACAAGCAGCAAAAATAAATAAATAAATAAATAACCAACATCATAGCCTGGCGCTGGTGGCTCATCCCTGTAATCCTAGCTACTCAGGAGGCTGAGATCTAAGAATCTCGGTTCAAAGCCAGCCCAAGAAGGAAAGTCCCTGAGACTCTTTTTTTTTTTTTTTTTTTTTGGGTCCGATCATGGGCCTGAACTTTGGGCCTGGGCGCTGTCCCTCAATCAACCATTCAGAAAAGCTGAAGTGTGGGCTGGGAAGGTGGCTCAGTGGTAGAGCACTTGCCTTGCATGCATGAGGCCCTGGGTTCGATTCCTCAGCACCACATAAGCAAAAAGAAAAAAGCCAGAAGTGACGCTGTGGCTCAAGTGGTAGAGCGCTAGCCTTGAGCTGAAGAGCTGAGGAACAGTGCCCAGCCCCAGAGTTCAAGCCCCACAGCCGACAAAAAAAAAGTTCAGGGATGATGCCCAGGCCCTGAGTTCAAGCCCCAGAACTACTACACACAAAAAAAGAGGCAGTTGGCTGGGAATGTGGCTCAGGGATAGAGCGCTTGCCTTGCATGCATGAGGCCCTGGGTTTGATTCCTCAGCACCACATAAGCAGAAAAAGCCAGAAGTCATGCTGTGGCTCAAGTGGTAGAACGCTTGCCTTGAGCTGAAGAGCTCAGGCCGAGTTCAGGCCCCATGACCCACCAAAAAAAAAAGGGGAGGGGAGTGACTAAAGTGCCTGCTTAGCAGGTGTGAGGACCTGAGTTTAAACCACAGTAACTTGCTCCCCTTGGGGAAAAAACAATGAAAGTAGAAGAGAGGGCTATGGAGAGTACCATTGGGCCCTCCAGTGCTTGGTAACCAGCAGAAGTAAAAGTAAAGCTGGCAAAGAATGCCCACAGTATAAAGTAGAAATGCGATGGGGGCTGGGAAGGTGGCTCAGTGGTAGAGTGCTTGCCTTGCATTCATGAGGCCCTAGGTTCAATTCCTCAGCACCACATAAGCAGAAAAAGCTGGAAGTGGGGCTGTGGCTCAAGTGGTAGAGCACTAGCCTTGAGCTGAAGAGCTGAGGGACAGTGCCCAGGCCCAGAGTTCAGGCACCATGTCTGGCAAAAAAAAAAAAAAAAGTAGAAACGCAATGTCTTTAAAGATGAGAAACAAAAACTCAAGAAGAAAAATGCTAATTGTAAAAAAAAAAAATGCTAATTGTCTACTTCTTGAAACCGAATGAGAGGCAATCAGAGAAATGCTGTAAACTTCCTTAAAAGCAGTGGCTTAAAAGCAGTGGTTTGAGGGCTGGGAAGGTGGTTCAGTGGTAGAGTGCTTGCCTTGCATGCACAAAGCCTTGGGTTCGATTCTTCAGCACCACATAAGCAGAAAAAGTGGAAGTGGTGCTGTGGCTCAAGCGGTGGAGTGCTGGCCTTGAGCTGAAGAGCTGAGGGACAGCGGCTTGGCCCAGTGTTCAGGCCCCACGACCAACCAAAAAAAAAAAAAAAAGCAAAAAGCAGTGGCTCGAGCTGGGTGCTGGTGGTTCATGCCTGCAATTCTAGCCACTCTGGGAGATCTATGGATCACAGTTCAAGATTCAAAGCCAGCCTGAGCAGGAAAGTCTGTGAGATTCTTATCTCCAATTAACCACCAGAAAACCAGAAGTGGCACTGTAGCTCAAAGTGGTAGAGTATCAGCCATGAGCAAAAGAGCTCAGGAATAGTGCCCATGCCCCAAGTTCAAGTCCCAAGACAAGCAAAAAATAAAAAAGTAAAAGTAAAGCCAGGCGCCCGTGGCTCCCTCCTGTAATCCTAGCTACGCAGGAGGCTGAGATCTGAGGATCACAGTTCAAGCCAACCCAGGCAGGAAAGTCCTCGAGACTCTTATCTACAATAAACTACTAGAAAACCAGAAGTAGCATTGTGGCTCAAGCGATAGAGCGCTCGCCTTGAGCTGAAGAGTGAGCTGAAGAGTGCAGGGACAGTGTCCAAGCCCAGAGTTCAAACCCCATGACCGACAAAAAAAAAAGTAAAGGGCTGGGGGCTGGGAAGGTGACTTAGTGGTAGAGTGCTTGCCTTACATGAATGAGGCTCTGGGTTCAATTCCTCAATACCACATAAGGAGGAAAAGCCAGAAGTGATGCTGTGGCTCAAGTGGTAGAGTGCTGGCCTTCAGCTAAAGAGCTGAGGGACAGCATGCAGACCCAGAGGTCAGCTCCACACTGACAAAAAAAAGGGGGGGAGGGGGCTGGGAAGGTGGCTCAGTGGTAGAGCACTTGCCTTGCATGCATGAGGCCCTGGGTTCGATTCCTCAGCACCACATAAGCAAAAAGAAAAAAGCTGGAAGTGGCGCTGTGGCTCAAGTGGTAGAGCGCTAGCCTTGAGCTGAAGAGCTGAGGGACAGCGCCCAGGCCCAGAGTTCAGGCCCCACAATCGGACCCCCCCAAAAAAAGGGGGGCTAGGAAGGTGGCTTAGTGATAGAGTGCTTACCTAACATGCTGGTTGGATATGCTGGTTGGATTGGGTTCCTCAGTGCCACATAAACAGAAAAAGCCAGAAGTGGCATTGTGGCTCAAATGGTAGAATGCTCACCTTGAGCAAAAGCAGCTCAGGGACAGTGCTCAGGCCCCAGTACTTGAACCACACACACACATACACACACAGACACACACACACACACACACACACACACACACACACACACACACAGACACAGTGGAAGGAATAGAGAAAATCTTTTTTTTTGTCAGTTGTGGCGCTTGAACTCTGGGCCTGGGCGCTGTCCCTCAGCTCTTCAGCTCAAGGCTAGCGCTCTACCACTTGAGCTACAGCACCACTTCTGGCTTTTTTCTTTTTGCTTATGTGGTGCTGAGGAATCGAACCCAGGGCCTCACGCATGCAAGGCAAGCACTCTACCACTTGAGCCACAGCGCCACTTCCAAATCTTTTGCTATGAAAAGGAGAGATCCAATGATGTGTCCAGACATAGTATCTTGAGTTTACTTAGTATGAAAGGTATCCGCACAAATTTCATTGAGAATAGAAAAAATAAAAACAGTGCAGGAGAGAAGGGGAAAATTGAAATTTATTGAAGGCTTAGTGTTAAGAGCTTACAAACATTCATTTCCACAATGGTTTACAGATGAGGCAATTGGAGTTAAATAACTTGCCCAAGGTCATGCAGCTAGAGGTGGCAGGGCAAGGTGCCTGCCTCTCCAATACATCACACAGGCACAAGTCTCCCTGTACTTAAACACCAAGACTTGCCTTTGCCCCTGAGATCAGAAAGAGCCACTCTCATGCTGGAGAGAGTTTTTCCGCCTCTGATGCAGAAAGCAGGTGCGTCTCCCCCCACAGCCTGAATACTCATGCAGCACAGGATAGAAGCTCCCATAGTCTGGAGGGGCTGAGGCAAGCAGCAGGAGCCCCCAGAGGTAGGAGGGAAAAGGGACACTTTGGGATGTATACAGCAATTTCTTTTTGTGCCAGCCAGTGCAAGGGAGTGTTGGGGATGCTGGTCCCAACCAACTGGGGCCCGAGGCCCCAGCCTTCATGTAGATCTGTTCAGTGGGACAAGAAACTCAGGTCAGAGCCCAGTCTCCCTACTGCCTGCATTGAGGCTGAGGCTTTGAGGACGGGTTCCACGTTCCAGCCTGCGGCCAGACAGGAGCCTTCGAAGGGAAGAGCCAGAGCTCAGATCGCCACAGCTGCGAAGGTGGAGGCTCTCACGGCCTGGCCGGCCCCACGGACTCCGGGGCACCTGGAAAAGAGGGCATTGGTATGACCTAGCCTAAAGTTCTAGGCTTTCCCAGGCATCTTTTCCAGCTCTCCTAATGCTTACTTGCTTATGTCCATGGGCTCCAGTCCCAGTGGGGTCTGGGGACTTTCTGGACATCTGGAGGAACCGAGTGACCAGACCCCGGCCTGGCCAACTCCCTTTCAGGTCCCCCAGAGAGTGGGCAGGTGCAGGGCCTGAGGGCAGGGGAACCTTCTGGAAGGTGGGCACAGGGCGCCTTTTCTCAGCTGAACGGGCACGAAGCAACTTGGGGGAAGGACAGTGGGCAAGGCGAAAGAGGCAGGCTTCAGAGCAGAGCCCTGTGGAGACAAAGGGAGAAGAGAGTAAAATGGGGTGCAAGCCAGGTGCGGGTGGCTCACACTTGTAATCCTAGCTTCTCAGGAGGTTGAGATTTGAGGATCATGGTTCAAAGCCAGCCCGGGCAAGGAAAGTCCATGAGACTCTTATCTCCAATTAACCACCAGAAAACCGGAAGTGGCACGGTGGCTCAAATAGTAGAGTGGTCACCTTGAGCTGAAGAGCTGAGGTACAGTGCCAGGCTGAGTTCAAGCCCCACAACCAACAAAAAGAATAAAAAAAGAAAAGAAAAAGAAAAAAGAAAGTAGGGTGCAGAGAGGACCAGGCAATGCTCCCCACCCCTCACCTTACAGATGGCTAACCTGTATCTGCAGAGGAAACAGAGGCAACTTCTTCCTCAAGCACTTTGGTATAAAGGTCCCTGAAGTCAGCTGGAGAGGAGAAATAGGGACTAAGCGGGAGGCCTTTGGGGACACCTCTGCCATCCTACACCTCCCTTGGGAACTCAGGCCCAGAGGAGTTTTCATGGCTTCTACATCTCCATCTCTGCTCATGTCTGCCAGCCACTAAATGGTACAGTGCAGGCAGGCAAGACTACAGTGCCAGAGCCTTCTGAGCTCCTGGCACCTCAAGGTAATGACAAGCACTTTCTGTGCTTGTGTCAAGTGTTTGTGTGCCTGACTTTTCTTTCTAAGACTAAGCATGTCTGTCTGTCCCTGCTTGGCTTCCTAGATCAGGTGCAGTCAGGTGTAGGAATGGCTGCAGAGTGTGTGCATTACTTCCCTTCTCAGCGAGTCCACAGCGCGTTGAGTGGAGGCGCTGTCATTACACCTGCTCTAAGGCTTGCAGAGGATGGGTTAGTAGCCCAAGGTTGGGAGCTGTGGAACCCATCTCCCCCAGAGGTGATTGATCACTGAAGACATGCATCGCAGGAATATTCTGCTTCCTTTCTTCCTTCTCGGGGGCCTTGAATCCAGGGCCTCCCTGACCCTCTAATTCCCAGTGCTCCCCTTCCCCTGTACCCAGGGGGTTGCTCACCAGTGTCGTTGGAGGTGGTGATGCCCGGGTCGCTGTGGGACCTTGGCAGCAGCAGCGGTGGCGGGGGAACCGGATGAGGAGGCCGGTGCCCCGGTGGGGTGAGAGAACCTGAGCTATCGCTGAAGCGTCGAGTGGGGGCTCGGGTGGGAGGGGTGGCCCCAGGGCGGCTGCCCCCCCGGGGTACCCGCCGCCTCAGCTCGGGGAAGCAGGGCCCCACCCAGGGCGGCCAGCCCTCCAGCCGGTGACAGCTGCGCGCAGCTGTGGGGGCACCCAGCGGGGGCGGGGCCTCAGGGGCAGAGCAGGAATAGGAGCGGGCCGCCCGTGGGGGGCGTCGAGGCAAGGGGCTGTCCTCGAAGGGGCCTCGCAGGCCGCAGTCCAGGCTGAGGCAATAGCCGGCGCGGCTGCGCTGGATAGAGCGGAAGAGCACGTAATCAACGGAGCGCACGGAACCCTGCAGCTCCAGCAGGCACGAGTCCTCGGACGGGCTGGAGCCCCCGGGGAGGTCACCGATGGCCGACAGCACCAGAGACCCGCTGTCCATGGACACTGTGGGCGGCAGGGGGCGCTGAATAGCAACAGCCCATGGGCCCAGCCAGGCAACTCCTCTTTTCCCAAACCCTAGCCTCTCCCCGGGCCACTTGCCTCCAGTGTTATCTTGGGGGAAACAAAACACAGATCCAGGGTTCAAGAAGCCACAGCCCTCATCCGTCCCCTACATTACCAGCTTGGCCTTGCTTTCCCCTCCTTTTACTCCCACCCAATCCTGTTGCCCCTGGAAGTCCGGGCCTTGTCCCTTCCTTCTCATTTGCTACTTACCATCTACAATGGAGGCCACTCTCTCACAGATACAGGAGCCATCATGTAGCTGGGGATCAAACAGAGTGGCCTGCAAAAGACACAGGGCAAAGGTCCAGCCCTTCACACTGTCATGGCCATCCCAGGTGCTAGAAACAGCTCTGGAGACCTAGATTCCAGACCAGCTGGGTCATTGCATGCATCACTTAACTTAAAGGGGCCTCGGTTTCCACATCTGTAAGATAGAAATGATAGTTCCTCTCCTACCCACTTCACCAGGCCAAAGGGGAAAAAAAAATCAAAGATGACAATGTTTGCACTAGTACTCTAGAGACCATGGGACTATTATCTTTATCCAGCAACTACAGCTTGCTCAGCTTTCCAGACTCTACCCCATGCTGCCCAGCCACACCAAGCCCTGTTCTCACCTGGCTGTCTCCTCGTAGCCCCATAACAGCCTCATAAGAAGGAGGGCAATCAGTAGGGTACAAGGGCACGGGGCTGTCCATGGAGCCATTGTATGTGATGCTGGTAGGATGAGGGAGAAGATCAAATCCTGGAAAATAGCTCCTACTTCACAAAGATACTTTCCCCTAATCTAGGCCCAGCCCCAGTCCCTTTCCCCAGTTCCTTACCCAGCCTCACCTCTGTGCATCTGTTTCTGAGCTGCAGGTATACTCTGGGGGGTAGTAAGGTGGTGGGGGCACAGGCGGTACAAATTCCTCCAAGTCCAACATGGTGTGTAGGAGGGGGGCTGGAGGCGATGATGTACAGGCCAAAGAACCGAGGGGGCCTGAAACTGAGTGCTCAGGGGCCAGCTGCTGGGGGAGGGGAAGACAAACAGGTCTATGAGACTGGTTTCTGGAAATATAGCTCCACCTTGGGTTCCAAACGTCCAAGTTCAGGCTGTGGGGCCTGAACTCTGGGTCTGGGCGCTGTCCTTCAGCTCTTCAACTCAAGGCTAGTGCTCTATCCCTTGAGCTACAGCACCACTCTGGCTTTTTCTGCTTATGTGGTACTGAGGAATTGAACCCAGCGCCTCATACATGCAATGCAAGCACTCTACCACTGAGCCACCTTCTACTTTATTTTTATGGCCCTGACCACTTCATGTTGCTATAGTTGTAACACCTCCTCTCCCATAACTAGTGCCTTAACACCCCCCCCCCTTCACCCCCGGACTCTGCCCCTTTACCCAGAAATTCCTCTTCTTTACAGCCTCATTGTGTCCAGAATTGCCACTTGTTTTCTGTCACCACAGGGCTGTCCATCCTTTATGCCACCTACATCTAGGACTTTCTTGATTCTACCCCAGCCACACTCTCTCTAAAGCCCCCTCTCCTGGTCCTAGACTAGCATCACACACCTCAGCCCAGTTTGCCTTGTTCAGAATCCAAACCTGTAGCTACCACCTCTCCAGGCCCAGTCCCAACACACATCCCTGGTTCTTGCCATAGGGCTTGATCCTAGTTCCCCTCTCACCGTATGCACAAGGTCCAGGGAGAAGATTTGAACACAGCATACAATAGCAGAGAGGGTACAAATTATGGCAGCACAAACTGTGAGCCCACAGACACTGAAAAGCAGGTTCTAGGGAAGAGAAAAAAGTAGAGGAGTGAACGCAGGAAAATCCCACCATACCCTGCTATGGGAAGGAATAGGGCAGGCACGCTCACCTTGAGGGCCCCTCGGGCTTCATCACAGGTGGAGTTAAGGGCAACTTTCAGTTCCTGTCCTGACTCTGGACAGGGCCGGAGTAGGGGAACAGGGGGACAGCACACACAGACATTTCCGTCCTGAGTGGGAAATAGGGAAAGTGAGGCAGCCAGGGTCATGACCAACTCAAATGTCCTGCATGCTTCCCCAAACCAGCCTCAAATCTCACCATGGAGCAATCTCGAAAGTCCCGGGCCAGCTGAGCATTCTTACAGGAGAGAACAGAGCCAGCCATGCTGAGCATGACACAGAGCACCGAAAGCAAGGAGAAGAAAGAGATCTGGGGGAAAGAGGGTGCTAATTTAGGGCATGAACTTTCTGAGTACCCCTCTACCACAGATGGAGCCACCCTTTTTCATACACACTTTGTGCCTGTTTGGCACCATCTGGAGAGCCAATTCCCTTCCTGAAGACATAAGTGGGCATCCCCTCTGGTGCTGGGCACTTGCCTCCCAGTGGGCATTGGACCCCTGCACCTACCACTAGAGTGAATGGCCGCTTCCAGGTCACAATGCCAACCACCCCGGAGAACGCCAGCTGGGGACAGAGTGGGCACAGGCTTAGCCTAGCAGGGGAGGCACCTGAGTGAGCCCCTCGCCACAGGATGCACCCATCCCTGCAAGGAGGGACAGGACCAGGATAGGGAGGAGAGGGGAGGATATAGGCTTGTGGCTGGCGAGGAGTGGGGCCTGAGGAGCCTCCCCCACCCCACTACTGTGCACCCTTTGAACCCAACTCACCGAGAACCCAGCCCAAGATGGGCAGGACCTCTTGATGCTCTCGGTGGTGGTGACAGAAGAGGCCACCATGCTGAAGGTTACCACCAGGATGCCCAGGAGAACCTGGGCCAGCCCCAGAGTGAGCAGGGCCTGCAGCCAGGGTCGGTGGAGGCGGAGGTGGGTAAGGCCCCGGGTGCTGGGCCGGCTGGTTAGCGAGCGGCTGGAGTCACTAGGCGAGGGCATCATGCCTGCCACTGGGCTGCCTGCACCTCTCTCGGGCCCCCCTGGCGCTTGGGAGCATCTCAGAGGCGCCCAAGGCCCCGTCCTTTCTCCTCTCCACTCCCCTCGCTCTAGAGCCCACCCCCTGGCTGGGTCCTCTGGGGCATCGCCCAGGGACGCCAGCTGTGGGGGGGGCCAAGGGAGGGGCGTCACGGAGGGACCGCGGGGTGCTCCCTCCCCACCACGGGCACCGGACGGGCACCTTGCCCAGGGTGGCGATGAGGACGCGGGGACACTGGCTCATCGCATCTCCTTAGGGAAGAGGGGCGCCGAGAAGGGCCGGTGCCAGAATGAGAAGAGGGCGGCGGTCGGAGCCCAAAGAAGGGTGGGATGGGTAAAGGCGAGAGGGATGGAAAGAAGTCTAGAGAAGAGGGGAGGAGTCGGTAGGGGTGACTCTAGAGGCGCGGTCGGTGTGCCTTCAGGGTGTCCAGTGGGATCCGGGGTGCCTGGTGGGGAGAGGCCGCGGCGCCGCGGCCTCCCGGATCGCCCGCCCCGCGCCCCTCCCCACCATGCTCCGCTCCCCCAGCTCAGGCTGCAGCGGGTCGGGCCGTGGAGGCGGGGGTGGGGACGGACATGAAGCGAAGAGGGGCGTGGCCGCGTGGTGCACCCTGGAAGCTGTAGTTCCACGCAGACCAGAGGGAGGCGGCGGGGTGTTCGGGCGAGGCGATCCCGAAGCAGGGGCTTTGCCGGAAGCTTGCCCGGACCCCCTGCCCAGTTGCTAATGATTATTCCATACCCACTTGTGCCCTGTCCAGCCTCTCAGGCGCTGGCGCAGCGCTCCTGGCACAGGCAGCAGGCTCTTCCACATATTAAGGGAGAGGAGTGGAGGGCTACACTTCCTGGTGTCTCTACATTTCCGCTCCCAACCAAAGACTTCCTGCTCCGGCTATCTGGTTCTGCCACCCTGTCCCCCACTGCTCACAGGTGACCCTCAAGCCAGGTCCCCCCTTTCCCCATTCTGCTTCCACTCCAGTCTTTCCATATTTTTTCTCTTTCATAATTTTTGTTTTTGGGTCCTGTCGTGGAGCCTGAACTCTGGGCCTGGGCGCTGTCCCTCAGCTCTTCAGCTCAAGGCTAGCGCTCTACCCCTTGAGCCACAGCGCCACTTCCGGCTTTTTTCTTTTTGCTTATGTGGTGCTGAGGAATCGAACCCAGGGCCTCAGGCATGCAAGGCAAGCGCTCTACCACTGAGCCACCTTCCCAGGCCTCTTTCATAATTTTTTAAAGTCCTAGTAGAAATTCAGTAAGCCAGTGAGTTCAGTTACACTTCCTTTTTATTTAAATAACCGAAGCGACAGCCTTGGCACAGCAGAGGGGGCTCTATTGGGGAGTGTGAGAAATGGCAGCAGTGTGACCTGATGGGAGAGGAAGGGTGAGCAGTCACTGGGTCAAGGTGGACTCCCCACCGCCCCGTCAGGTTCAGGAGTCATGGCTGTACAATTGGGGGCACTATACAGAAACCACCAAGTAGTGATGTCTCTCCCCAAGTCCCAGAGACCTCAGGGATGGAGGCTATGTCAGGGCCTACATCAAGTGGCCGAGCCAGGGCATCCTGGTAAGGGGTCATGGAGTGCGGAAGGCATTTTCAGCAGCCCCAGCAGCTGCATTAGCAGCTGCAGTTCGAACTGCAGGGTTAGAGAAGACGCCAGCAGCAAATTCTTGCTGGGCCTTCTGAAAGCTGGCACCGGTGCGGCGATACAAGGAGTGAATCTGCAAGAAGAGGGTAGAGATGTTACAGCGTAGGCCAGACCCTGGCACCCTGCAACCACAAGACACCCACCACCATTCACCAGCCTGCTGCTCCCACTTTTTCTTCTGGGCTCTATCCAGTGTGCACACACGCACATACACCCATGTACACACACACACTCCAAAGGTCCATTAGCTGAGAACCCGCCCCTCAGCCTGGCCTGCCCCAGTTGCTCCTGATGTTCCACTCAGGCCCTAGGGACCCATGAGCTCACCCTTCTCCCCCCACCTTCCAGTCCCTCACCCGCTTCAGCATCACGATTCCCAGTACAGCGATGCCTGTGAATAGCAGGGCAACCAGCAGCATGAACACAGCTACAGCCATGTTGACCTTCACCTCCACCACAGCAGAGACCCAGCCACTGTGGAGAAAGCATGTGCTGGTGAGGAGAGGCTCCTCACAGCAGGGCTGCCATCCTTACAGTTTCTCTGCTGAGTATGTGGCAAACATGCTGTATTTCCTACCCCTCCCATCAGCGGTTACTCCCCTGCCAGTCTGGCAGCATTCCATGAACCACAATTCCCGCTACCACCACTCTCTTCACAGTTTAGCTCCAGTTTTTGAACCATTAGCTCCTCGCTCTCTTAAGGCCTGCCGCGCAGGCATCCTTACTCCAAACAGACTCTTCTCTATTAAGTCTGCTCCTCTTTCTTCAACTATGGTTATATAAACCTCTTCCAGGAAGCCTTCTCAGAGCCACCCTCCGCAGCCTTTCTCCCCTCAATCTCTGCCTATCTAGAGTTGTCTGGTCTGTATTCTAAGTATATTCTGTCTCTCATTAAACTAGCACATCCAAAAGGGCGGGGGGTCTTTTTTGTGTGCTAGTACCAAGGCTGGAACTCAGGAACTTGTGCTTTTACTCTCCTTTCTTTGTTCTAGCATTTGAGCCATACCTCCAGTCTGGCTTTTTTGTTGGCTAATTAGAGATAGAGGCTCATGCACAGACTTTACTGGCTGGGTCTCCTGAGTAGCTAGGATTATTGGTGAGCCACTGGCATCTGGCACAAATTTCATCTTGCCAGTTAAGTCCTACCCAATACCTGTGCCGGCTTTTCTAGAGAAGTGGAAGGAAAGAATGAGAGTAGATGACAGTCTCACAGACCTGAACCCCCAACCTGGGATGCCAATGGCCTGGAGGACAAAGAATACATCCTGGACGAAGAAAATGAAGAAGAAAACGAAGAAATTGAATGAACTGTCACTCCTGCAAAAAGAAAAAAAAAAAAAATGGGGAGTGGGCAGGATTAGAGCTAGAAGATCTGATGTGAGGTCCACCCCAGCCTCCCATCATCCATCCCTCACTTACCGGAAAGCCTTATACATGGGGCGGTACCAGCAGACAAAGGAGCAGGGAGTGAAAAGGAGAACCCAGAGCAAAGAAAGCCCAAAGCCTGAGCCATTGCTGGTCTCCACACAGAAACTGGCCAGGCAGGCGAGGAAGTTCAGGAGAAGAGCCAGAGTGCTACCTAAAGATAAAGGAGAGAATGGTAGGCTGTTCTGGATTACAATAAAGGCACATGCACAGACAGACATCTCCAATGCTCACCAAAAGTGGCAGCATAAGAAAGGGAACACAAGACAAATAAATGTCATATCTGATCCCCTAGAAAAGACTTTTAATAAGAGTTAAGAATGTGTTTATGAGCTGGGTGTGGTAACCTACACCTGTTAATTTCAGCACTTGGGAGGCTGAGGTTTAAGGATCATGAGAGAGTCTGAGGCCAGTGCAGGCTACACAGTGAATTCCAGGCCAGGTGAGACAAAATATATACTTGTTAACAGGCTGGTAAGTTCCAAATACAGTAGAAGGAGTAATCCAGGAAGATTCCTGGAGAAACTACCCGAATAATCAAATGTGAAAAAGTGAACTATCTGGCTCTCAGTGAGTGTGTTCTGGGGCATTTAAGAAATCTCTATCTATAAATTTTCTCCTAAAGACCTCTTATCACTCACACATCCAGAGGTAGTACATGGTGGATACTGTCTTCTGAAATTCTTGGGGGATCTCCATGGAGATGTCCTGGAAAAAGCAGGGCTGAACTGGGCAAAAAGAAGGTAGAGGGGGCCAATTGTTCTGTCGACCTGTAAAGTACCAAGAGAGCAGGAAGACCTTAGGAAGGAGGCACTCACTCTCCCTTACTTCTATCGCTATCCTTTCAATTCAAAGTCCAAGAAGACAAAGAGTGGAAAAAATAATAGTAATAGCAAATGTTCATTATGATTTGCAAAACCTAAGCACTATGCCAAGAACTCTCAGTATATGACTTTGCTTAAACCTTCACACTACTCATGTCAGATATGATTATTCTTTTTTTTTTTCTCCTGGTTGGTCATGAGACTTGAACTCAGGCCTGGGCGCTGTCCCTCAGCTCTTTAGCTCAGGGCAAGTGCTCTGAGCCACATGGCTACTTCCGATTTTCTGGTGGTTAACTGGAGATAAAGAGTCTCATGGGGGGCTAGGAAGGTGGCTCAGTGGTAGAGCACGAGCCTTGAGCTGAAGAGCTGAGGGACAGCACCCAGGCCCAGAGTTCAGGCTCCACGAACCGGATCCCCCCCACCCAAAAAAAAAAAGTCTCATGGACTTTCCTGCCCAGGCTGGCTTTGAACCGTGATCCTCAGATTTCAGCTTTCCGAGTAGCTAGAATTATAGGCATGAGCCACTAATGCCCACATATTCTCATTTTACAAATAAAGAAATTGAGGTGCTCAAGATTAGGTAACCAAGGAAGAGGCTGGGAACATAGCTCAGTGGCATTAGCCCTTACCTAGTATGTACAAGGTCCTAGATTAGATCTCTAGCACTGTAAGTAAATAATAAAGAAATTTCCCAGAAGTACATGGCTAATAAACAGTATCTCCACAATGCAAGCTCAACAGTCTAAATGTACAGATCTTAGTATTTTTGCTTTTCCTTACCCTACCAAGAGTTCACTTACTGGCTGTGCCCCCCAGGGCAACATGTTGAAGCTCTCGCTCTCTTCGGTCCAACTCCTCTGCTTTCCTGTTGAGCTCCTCCTGTTTCTTTAACAACTCAGCTGTGGCTGCTGCAGCTGAAGCCTACCAAGCATGAACAGAGGGACGAGTAAGTCTCTGGCTTCATGACTGGTCCCTCTCCCAAGCCCCCACCTGCACACACCCTTCACCTGAGTGCTGTAGGAGCCATAGTTCTTGGGTTCCTTGGGGCTGAGCTTTCTGGAGGGCTGCAAGGAGGGAGCTGAGGGTGGTGGTAATGGAGCAGGGGCTGGGGCAGGAAGCTCATAAGGAGGTGGGGGCTGTTGGGAAAAAGGCCTTAGAGATTGTCTGGTCCCTAGAACACAGGAATCTAGTGTCTCTTGGGAAATTGTTAGAACCACAATTCAGGACATAAGGCAGCAGTCTTTGTTCCAGTTACAAAGCTAGTTTCTTTGATCCCCATTCCAATTCTTTAGCAAGAACTGAAAATACTTATTTCCATATCCAATTCTTAACTTGTTAAGCCCACCAATTTCCTATTTCAATGGGTCCAATAGACTACTTCTATTCCTTGCATCTACCTGCCCCAATCTTAAGTTTCTTCAGGGAAGTCTTTCCAGAAAACTGGTTCACACCTTGCCCTCTGGCCCTCTCAAGACTGTTAGAGCTTAATTCAGATGACCCCTGAGCCCCCGAGTCCTTAAGATTAGGTATCCCAGGTCAGACTAGGTATCTCAGGGAGCTTCAACCACGGTTTTTCCTCAGCATGCAGGAAATACTCAGTACCCAGACTGGGCTTATTGGCACATTCTCCCCATTCTTGCTCGTCTGTC